AAGTGGAGATGCCCGATGTTTTGTTGATGTCAACAAGGGGTCGGAAGGTTGATGATGAAATTGACGATTTGTTGTTCTGATGGATTGGTACAAAACCCACGAAATTGCACGATGACACGGGGAGTTTATCAAAGTACTTTCTTAGACGTGTTATGTGACGTGGACTACTATTCTTACGTATTTCTACTGCGTGTTTGAGAATTTTGGTTTGGACTGTACCTGCTTGATGAGGGCACGTATGCAAAGGGAACTGGAAATGGAACAACAACAATCGACGCAATGCTCTTTTGTATCGTTTGACCGGGACGACTGCAAAATTAACCAACTTCATCATTGAAGACAACATTACAAACAAGATGGATACCGATACTCGTGAGTACACGTCACCTAAACTAGAATTTTACATGAGGGGTGAGAAAACGTCCTACACACCATTTTACATTACCACTACGATTGGGTGCCTCCAATTTGTCAAAATGGATGAATCATCATCAAATAAGAGCAAATACAGCGTCGCCATTCTTTGCGGGCGGCCTCTTTTTGCTGCCATGTCCGAACAAGAACTGAAAGCTGGCAAGTCAATCATAGTTCAAAATATTGTTCAAGATGCTTCACCAAGCACATTCAAAAATACAGCAACAACCTGGCTCAGTGTGTTGGGCACACGAGTGCAGATAGGACAAACGGCATTTGCTGCAGCTTCTGGTCTTGTGAGCCGTTCTTACACCAACCTTGTTTTGGTTAGCCCTGCTACAGTCGACGGCAATGACAAGCAAAGTGCCAAAATTTGTTTCCCACCAGATCCTGTTTGTGCGTGGTTGGCAATGTGTCTCATGGATGATAGTTGGTCCATGGCTCTTTCAAAAGACATGACTCTGAATGGACGACCAAAAGTATGGTGGGTACAGAAGATGAAGGACCTGTTTTCAGACCATTTTTGTTCACCGGAATAGGGAGACTTTGGGGAAGTCATGGTGGCTTTGTATTTTTTGTTCTTTGCAGATATTGTCCGAGGTAGTTTGAAGGACAATAAGGACTACAATACTTTCTCAGTACCACTAAATGATTGGATCAATTGTCTAATCAATGGAGGTCGTAGTGGTGATGATGGTGACGACGGTGACGACATGATGAATCAAAATAACGATTGCCAGGTCCATTTCAGTGCAATCCAAGTCTGTTGTAATTATGCCCGTGCATATGATGATTTGTCGTCTTTACTTCAGAATGAAGTGTTCTTGGATAACATGTACAAAACGGGTGTGGGATTATATGTGTTTGCAGGTTGCAGTGTCATTGATGTTGTATTTGCATTGCAAATATCAGTGGCAGCACCAACAAAAGGCGACGTCACCACCACTCGCTCATCCTCATCAAAAAAGTACCAATATGTTCCGATGTTTGTGTCCATCAAGTTGCAATCCAGTTTCTGTCCAAAATCTTCAAGCATCGAATGTGACAAGATGAAAGCAAAATTCAAAGCGGTGGAAGGTGGTAGCGAGCTTGGTGCCCTTTGCCTCTTGGTAGTGTTTGGTTCATCTGTCAAGTCAAAAGATGGAGACTATACTTTGAAACCAGATTGCGTCAAGAATCTTGAAGAGGGAATGGCAGTATCCAAAGTGCTGCGGATACCAACCAATGACATATTTGAATTGACAGAGGCATTCTGGGAGTTGACAGGAGTTCACGATGAAATGTCAGAAGTTCTTGCTTCTCACAGCTTTTTGGGTGCCCATCAAGAAGCTGATAGTGAGACCACCACGAATAACTTTACAGAGCAAGTCTTGCGACTCTGCCCAAAATTGAAGACAAAAAAAGCAGCAGAAATGCAAGGCATTGTAAGGGCAACAGATGAAGTGACTGGCTATTTGGAAAAGTTGCTTGCAGGTCTAGATGACATTGTTAGAGGACAACCATCAGATGGAGAGAAAGAGAAGCAAACGAAACAAAAGGCAACTGAAGCAAAGACAACCAAAATACAAAAGCCTTGCATCTATTATTGAGGAGAAAGTCACTATTGTTGGAGCTTACCATTGTTCCAGATATTTCTGTGCACATTTACATTAGACTTGATTCATGAATGTGCCACAAAACAGTGACAACCACATGACGCTATACAGCTATGATGCATTATGAATAAATCTTGTTTGATAGTTGTGGAATATTTGTCGGATTGGGCCATTTTTTTTCTGTTTGGTAATAATACTAGCTACTAGTGTGGGAAATTGCAGGGGGGGGATTGGTCAAAATTGATCAAACTATGGGCAGTCCAAATTTGCATAACAGCAAACTACCTACACACCAACAAACCATGACAGTGTCACCACTACTACAATGGACCCCCCTTAGGCCGAAAAGTTCGGGCGATTTGGATTCTTTGTGAAAAAGTCACGATCAGAAACGAGACACACCAAAACATGATGACAATGGCTCCACTTTACAGCATTATTTGTACTACTGATGGGTATTAACGATCAAAATGACTTCCTTTGGAAGTCTTCCATGGTAAATTTCTTACTATTATCTATTTATTGGAGCAACATCACCGCCTCCGTCGATACAACAATCATTCCGCAAGGATCCGTCCAAGAATCTCAATTGATAAATCTCTGCTTGGATATCTCTTTTTGAGGAAATCAATCTTGTGTCCAGCTATAACAGTCTTCATTGTTGCAACATTCTTTGCAGAGCGAGGCGTGGATGTGATCCTAGATGCGGACTGTCCAGTTCGCCGTCATTCAAAAAGGACCCATCAAGATCGTGTTGCAAGAAGACACCTTATGGAGAAGCAGGCAACCCTAGCAAATCTGATCAACCATCCCAATCCAACCAATGCAGTTCTAGCGCAAAAGGAGAAATTGATAAAACAGATTCGCGGAAAGGAGAATCAGCAGCATAGAGGTCTTCCCCCGGACTCCATTGACAAAATTGATGATTTGGTGAAGTCTTTTGCAAGCACCAATGGAAGCAGCATAGTGCTTCAAAAGTCTTTATGGCAAGCGGGATCCAGCCATCGCAAAGTGTGCAACTGATGGCAATGTTGATGCAATCTTGTCGGGTGACTCTGATTTTGTAATTTACGTGAGCGGAGGTGTACCTGGTGGATGTGGCGACATCATGCTACGGAATCCAACACTGGGCAAGCGCAACAGATCTGGAAAGCCTTGAGATTGGGGCCGGGCAGAAGAAGGTTGTAAGATATATCTATGAGATTCTAAAACCGAAAGTGCGACAGTCCATCTTTCAAAAGGACCCACAGCATCCCATCTTTGATGGCTTGGATCAAACAATAAAAGCCAGGGGAGAACCAAAGGTGTGAGCTCCGACAGACTACTGTCTTGGCAGATCAACGATACAAAACAAGTAGCAAATTTGCATTGGCTATGCAGCAGCACCACAAAGTGGAGGATGTTGTGTTGGGGAATCAGTCATGAGATGACATCAACAAGCAATTGATTGCAGCAGCAGGACTTGATGTACACTGTGGGATCACTGGCACACCAAAAAGAAAGAAATTGGCGGAGGCTGAGGATGTGGAGACCAAGCCAAGTGTCATACCCAATGATTTGACTCCAAAGGAAGTAAAGCGCCGTACAGGATTTGACAATTTAGACAAGCTGCTTGCCTATGCCATGGTGGTTTGTGATGGTAGTTTGGATCACATTGTCCAAACTCACTTGGGTTGAAGAGTGGTTGTTCTATTTCGAGTTTAAGTATGGTCAGACTGCTGTAAGAATGCAAGACTTTGAGAAACCATACAGGAGCTTGGATTACCCCCTTCGAAAAGTACTGAAGCAAAAGTTATCTTTTGAGAATGAAACACACAGTCGGTGGCCTATGTATGCTTCCTACGAAGTAGATGCAAAGTTTTGTGGCAAACAATGGGATTTCTACTTTGATCGGCGAAGTGGGGAGAGAATTGTTATGCATGATGCAACCAGAATTCCTCTGCCATGTCCTTCAAATGCAGAGCTTCAACAAGCATTTTTCAGTGACTACTATGGTACTACATGAGCCAAGGCAGGAGTAAGCAACCAACTTTGTGGTTGGATGCGAGGAATGCCTTTAATGACTGGAAGAATCACAGATTCTCAGATGATCAAAGACTCAGAGATACTGGTGGCACAACAAAACTTTTCAGAGGCAGATCATTCTTCAGACAAACCATTCAACAATTTACTTGACAAAGGATTCCAAAACATGCTTGATGCAAGCATGGAAGGCCAACGTTGCATGCAACCAAAGTACTCAAAAGGTGATACCCAATTTACTAGAAAGGCAACCCTGCACTCTGCTTGTCTTGATGTCAAATGAGCGTACTGTTCAACACTGTGGAATGCCATGGTTCTTGAAACGTGGGTGTGCATACCAACTGTGGGATACCCATCTATTATGTGACATTTGGGACACTTGACATTTCAAGTGAACTTCATGTACAATAAGTTCCTCTAGATCTTCCTTCTTGTATTCATTGATAGTCCAATAATAGGCTGAATGGGGGTATGGCAGTTGTTCAATTTCTACTAAATACAAGTGTTTTTGAATGGAAAAGTCATTGCTTTGTCCGCGTTTGCCCAAACTTTGTTGGCCTAAGGGGGGTCCATTATTCGTTCCGAGTCAACATTACTTGTTCCGAATAAAAACAACTCGTTCCAAATAAAAATTACTCGCTTTGCAATGTCAGTTATTTCTGGTTTTGGTGGCTTCTCATCGTTTTGGTGTCTCATTGTTTCTGGAAGTCCCACAAAAATATCCCCCGGACTCTTCAGTCCTACCCCCCATGATCTTCATCTGCAATGTTTTATTGCCAATCAAGTCTTGGCTTGAGAAGAGCAATACCGGAAAGGGTTGGAGAGGAGATTGTGAGTGTCAACAACAATGCTCACAATACTTCATTTTGTCTTTTGTGTCGTTGATGATTACCGGTATTACTTGTTTTGAGATTTTTCAGCAAGCCTGTTTTGCCAAAGTTCGAGCTGTGAAAAAATGCCCCAAGATTCAGCCCCCAAAAAAATTACTCACTTTTGGTTGCTTCCCATCAATTTGGTCGCTTCTCATCGATTTGGGAAACGAGTAATTTCCATTTGGAACAAGTAATTTCCATTTGGAACAAGTAATTTCCATTTGGAACTAGTAATTTCCGTTTGGAACTAGTAATTTCCATTTGGAACAAGCAGAAACCTTACTTTGCTCACTTCTGATTGCGTTGTGGTTGCTTCTTGTTGCTTTGGTCGCTTCTCATTGATTCTGTCTGAACCAATCATAATTAGTCATCATTAGCTTTTGCTCTTAAGTATGAGTTAATCTTCTTATCCTACATGATCACATGGATTTCAAAATTGACTGGAGAAGGTCTGTCCGCTCTTTGAACAATGACAACTCATCTGTTGACCATCCGTTTCTGGATTTCCAAACTCCGACTTCTTTGCCTACTAAATAGTTTTCAATACACCGGCAAGACAAGGTAATTTTTGGAAATAGGTAGCAAGCGGACAGACGGGATCTGCTGTCAACTCCCGCTTGAACTGCTAGTCAAGCCGTTAAATTCTAGCAATGACATTTGCCAAAAGAGACCTCACGATGACATATTGCTAGTTGAGTCCAAGCCAAAAACATATTTTTGCCCCATCATCCAAATGCTGAATGCTGAATGCTGAATGCTGAATGCTGAATGCTGAATGCTGAATGCTGAAAGGTTTAAGAACAGGATTCTGAATGCTGAAAGGTTTCAGAACTGGATGAACAATTTTGGGGCATAGCCCCTTTTTTATTTTCTATTGCTTCTCTAGCTAGCTTCTCTATTGATTTTGACGAACTAGAACTCAAGCTTCTATCTCTTCTTTTATTTTTATTTTGACAAACTTGAACTTGGGCCCCTTTTCAATCTCTTCTTTTGCTCTGTTCATTTTTTTGTTTGTTTTTGTGTTGACAAACTCGAACTTGAACACCTTTTCTACAGCATGTTGTCAGTTCTGTTGTTTTTTTCCTATTGCTTTTCTAGAAATTTGATGTTGAAGAGGTGCTTTGTATGACACAATGCCAACAAAAAAAGGGAAGAAGGGATAAAGATACTATAGAGCAAAAATGTCTTAAGTGTTGTGCCTTCTTATAATGTCTTCGAGTGTATTAGTAGTGAGGATAAGCTCAAAAACTACAAAGTACTTTTCCAGTTTTCTTTCCAGGTGTTTTATGCTTTGATTTTGCTCATTGACAAAGAAAACTGGAAAAGTACTTTGTAGTTTTTGAGACCAAGGAGTTTTTTGCTTTGATTTTGCTCATTGACAAAGAAAACTGGAAAAGTACTTTGTAGTTTTTGAGACCAGGAAACTGTCTGAATGTTTCAAAATGTTGTCTAGATGAAAAGGCAACAAATATTATTTCAGCTTCTACCAGTAGTCATCGTGCAATGATGCATCTATGCATGAATGGAATGAAATGAGAGATATTGTACAACAATATGATTTACAACCCTGCTATTGCAGCAATTGATCTGCTCAGCCAAAAAAATGTCATTGTATACTGGTCGTACAAGCAGTCAAATGCAATGCATGCAATGATGCAATGATGATTCAATGCATTTCATTTGATACCATTTAAAATCATCTTTTCAGTCATTCTATTATTGTTTACTATTTAGTGTTATTATTGCTCCAAATGAGTACCAAGAGTCAGCAACTGGTTTTTACTATTCTTATTGCTATTATATTGCGTTTGATTGCACTCCATTGCATTCCATCTAAAGCATGTAAATACAAACATGTCAAGATATGAGCGACCGCTTTTGTAAACATGATTGACAACCGCAGCATCTGACAATCAAACTCACCTTGAGGGACGCCATTTCTCTTCTGCTTGAACAATTCTTCTCAAAAGGTCTTGATAGGTTTGAAGGAGTCATGCGATTGCGACAGTGTATTGTTATGTGGATGCAATCATGTCAAGATATGAGCGACCGCTTTTGTAAACATGATTGGCAATCGGAGCATCCGACAATCAAACTCACCTTGAGGGATGCCATTTCTCTTCTGCTTGACCAATTCTTCTCCAAAAGGTCTTGACAGGTTTGGAGGAGTCAGTCCTGCGATGGCGACAATGTATTGTTATGTGGATGCAATCATGTCAAGATATGAGCAACCGCTTTTATCAACGTTTGTAAATGCAGCATTCAACAATGAATCTCACCTTGAGTGATGCCAAAGCCAAAATGGACACTTTCTTTGCCAAAGAATGGTTCGAACAAACACCCACAGAGTGCATATAGTGAGAGATAGTCCCTTTCTCTTGCAATTTTTGGACCAGGCACTCCTCGAACTTCCTGATTGTCAAAATGAAATTTTATTCTTTTGCCTTTGCTCCCTCAACAATTCTTTCATGGAGCTCAAACAATTCATTAGCGGCAGATCCATTGGCAATTGAGGTTTATTGTTACCTTCTGTCAGGTTCTGCTGGTGTTTGGTTCAGACAACATTGGAGTGATCATGACAGTTGTTTGGTTGCAAATGAGGATATCAGGAGCATGGGTTTTTGAGTGTTTTGCAGTTTCACTTCTGAAAGTCGGTCCATAAGTGTGCCGTACAACTTGGAACAGCTGCATTGAGCGATACTGTCTTGCGTAGTGTCCCAACGGAAGAGTTACTTATGGTATTGGTTTTACTATAGCAGTCGACCAAGTCAAATTTTAGATGAAGAACACATATCACATATACACGTGTGTGCCATGAAAATCATAAATGCAACACTCAACAATCCAACTCACCTTGATAGACGCCATTTCTCTTCTGATGGCTTGGTAGGTTTGGAGTAGTCAAGCAATGGCAACGGTGTATTGTTGGGTGGATTCAAACCATGTCTAGACTTGAGTGACCGCTTTTGTCAACATGATTGACAATCGCAACATACAACAATCGAACTCACCTTGAGAGTGCAATGCAAACCATACCATGACATGAGCGATTGGTTTGTCAATGTCCAACAATCAAAAATATCCAAAAATCAAAAATATCCAACAATCAAACTCACCATGATGGACATCCAACAGTCAAACTCAGCCACCTTGCGTTTTCATATTGGTCTTCAGTGACACGTAAAAGCTGGTACTGGGACGGTGTGGCAACCCTTCAATACTTTTCTGATGGTTGAAGGCTCAAATGTTGACAAACCGGCTTAGGACTGCCACGTTCAAAATAAACGTCGAATAAAGTACTGCAATTTGACGCGATGTGCTTGCTGTGTAACAACAAACACAAAACTGTTTTCAAGACTGAAGAAAATAGCAACGGATTCCTATTGCATTGGATAGAAAACAGTCACTGTGTGCGATGGTTTGGCTTCAGAAAGGGATGGGTGAAAACTGGAGAAGGAGGATTTACAACTGGTGATTCCAATGCATTGACGTCAAATTCCATTGCTGCTGCTGACAAATATGACTGTTTATGGAGTGCGCCTGCCAATTTTGAGTCGTCTTGCACGCTCACTCCTGGTACCACACCACTTGGGAGTTGTGCGCCAAAATTTCTCATGGTACATTTTGTTGTACATTCCACACAAAATTTCACCAGCCCAGATAATTATGTAAACATACTATGTTTCTACTGCTCGTAGCCTTTCGGTTGTCTTGTACATAAAAAGGGTTTGGTTTTGGAAAGTGACAATTTTCACCAACACAACCATTTCACAATTTTCTACAACCCCGTCCACAAACATCTAGTATACCAGTCATAGAAGTAGAGGGCAGCTGTAAATGGCAAGTCAATTCTTGGTCTGTAGTCTTGTACATAACCCACATCCTATTACAATATGATCATTGTCTAACATGTTGTTGTCTTGCTTTTCTTTTATTAGGGCGAGCAGGTTGGCCAAAAATCCATAATTTGCACCATTGATTGCATGTGAGGCCACAAGGAGGACATCTGCAAATGGCAAGTCAATTAGTGATCTAGACCTACTATAATGATTTGTACATCCTGCTTTCTAACATCATCTTGCTTTCTTGCCTACAGGTGCTCGTCACCAAGACATTAGTTTGTCAACTCCGTCCGGAGCAGCAACTCAGCGCAACCAGCCAAAAACAGAATACACTGTCTCATCCTCTACAAAGCAAAGCAAGAACCTTGTATGTATCACCAACACTGCTTGGGTGGATGCTGATCTTCAAGACGGAGGAGTACTAATAGTGGAAATAATGGTTTCACTTGCAAGCAAACAAGATCATAAAATGATAGACAAAATGGATCAACAGGTGACAGAGGCAAGCTACAACTGTAGCACTGCAGAACATGGTCAGAGGTCGGAGCACTGTTCCACCTGTTGAGATTTTTGGTCCAGTCTAGCCTTTTCAATAGATCAATAAATTGTCAAATAATGTAAATGTCTATGTGATACAATGAATGGGCACTTTCAATGGTTTTGCCAACTGCATGCCCTTTCATCACCATAAACTAGTCTTCCAAAGCAAAGGACCCACTGTTTGAAGGACAATGAAGTTCCCATAGGACAACAAGCACATTGTCCTTTAATGACAAGTCCTGTGCGTGGAAAATTGAAGATGCATCTGATCGAAATCACGGTCAGACAGTCTTGCATCCCAAGGTTCTGAGACAAAATCAAATGGGAACTTTCCAAAAATGAGAAGGTTCTTCTCCTCAAAAAGACAATTTCCTTGTCATAAAAAGGACAAGGGGTTGAAGATTGGATAGAGCAGCTAAAAACTGGTGGACTTGAGAGAAGACAAGGGCATGGTTCCGACGAGGATGTTTTGCCAAAGCGAAAGAGCAAACGCCTCCTTGCTGCCAAATCATAGGTCTCAAGACAGAAATTGTTAGAATAAAGCAAAATGTGCTCTATTGTGAGTGCCTTTAGCGCTCAGAACAAACTCTCTGCAATCGAAATTCATAATCGACTGTACAACACTTTCATGACAATAGTTCTCCTGTGTCTAGGTATACTTTGAGTGAAATTGTTCCTATTTGATTAATATTTGGCTTGAATTGATGATTCAATCACAAAAGTAAGTTCAACAATTTTCCCTTGGAAAATCCCTTGTTTACAGAACTTGATTCAACCTCTACGACAATTCTGTGTTGAATGCAGTACTTTGGGACATCTTGTATTATTCCCTACTGCATTGTACACAACACCGATATCTCACTTGTATAGGGTCATTCCCTTTTTGTGTGGATGTAGATTGTCCGACAGACTTGCGTCCGGCATACTTGCGTCGAATCCCGACATCACGATCAAAGTCCGATCGTACGTGTCAAAAACGTTGTACTTGAATAGTTTCTTTTTGGAACGTAAAAACTCATATTTTGTCACATCCCAACACACTCCTGCCATTGTGACAATCACCATTGGCAGCAATGGGACATGCTCTCATTCACTGTTTATTTTTGTTTTGTATATTCTTTTGAACATATACATACTTGTCTGACCTAGTCCTGTGGACCAAGAATCAGATCCCTGATTTTGCAAAACTTGCAATGGCTTAGTCATGAAATCCGCAATCATATTTGCAACAGTAGTATGAAAGATCTGACGGTACTCAGCACTGAGTAACTTCCCTTTCCCAGCTTCCAGTAAATTGTTACCAGCTGGTGTTTCCTGCTTTGAATCCTTGTTGAACTTGATAGGAAAATCTTCCAACATGTTCTTGACATAGTCGTCCATGCAGATCTTGAGTTTTCCTTTCACCAAGAAATCCAAAGTCATTCCAAGATATCTGTGTATCTTTCCTCTGACAATTGTGCATGCCTTGATCGAACCATATCTCATGTTCAACAGCAAATTCCTCATTTACTTTTGGATCCATGTGACTTGACATAAGATTGTCAACATGAAATCTGATAGTTTGCTGTTTTTCATTAACAACTTTGTTAGCAACACACGGGTCATACGGATTGAAAACAAATCCCTTTGCCTCCAAATCACTTCGAAATTGATTATAGAATAGGAGGCTCGATTGCAACATCCCATATATAGCACGTAGTACCCGCACATAGATTACTCGCTTTCCGTTCTCTAATACAACGTATTTGCGATACTCTGGGGCCATGTCAATCAATATCTGGACCATCATGCCAGTGATTTTCATGTAGACGCGATCTTCTCCTTCCTTAGCATCAGGCATATAAGTTTGAATGAAAGCGTTAGGTACGTCCAGTGTCATTACATCTCTACCTTCGTGTGCATCAATAACACAAGTAGTGGTGATTGCTTCCTGCAAAGCAGTTGGACTTGCAGTGTCCTCTCGCGATAACTATTCACGAGTTCCATCGCCTCAGAATACTAGGCGACCTTTAATTGTCTTTTCGAATTGCTTCTCCGCAAGTAACATCATCGCTGATTGGGCCTTCTTTCGCTCAGACGCGGTCATGTCTTTAACAAATTTGGGAGTGAAACAATCTATCAGGAGCATTTGTCTCAATTCCTTATCCACAGCATCCTTTTCATCATCACCAAACTTCTTCAGTCCTTGATTGTTGATGTAATACTGTTGAATGAAGTTCAGACCTTCATCAGTATCAAACTTGGCCTTGATCTGCATCATGCAACGAGCGATTAGAATAGCGTCGTGCTCTTCATAATCAGCTTTCATCTCATTTTCAATCTGTTGGAAACATAGATTGTGCTTTGCTTCAAGGATAGCTTTACTGTCATTAGTACTGCCACTTCCTTCTTTGGTACAAATACCAGATTTTAACTTGTTCTTCAACGGTTTCATTTCTCTCTCTCGATGCTTGCGTCTTGTCGCAACTCGATTCTTGTTCTTATTGGCAGAACTGCCACTCTTGCTCGAAGGCCATTCTCTTGGTTTCTTTGGAACTTGAGAAAGGTTCAGCCCTGACATTGCAGCTTGCGCATACGTTTGCCCAGATGGAGTGACTTTTGCTACTTGAGGCTCTTCAGGCTCAAATACAATCTCTTCTTCTGGCGGCTCTTGTAGGTCCTCCAGATCAGTAATGAGGCTCCCAATATCATCGGTTCCTCTATCGACATTTTCTTGATGGTGATCCAAACTGGCCACAATAGGTTCTTCCTCTTCATTGCCTTCATCACCCGAATCGTCATCTGATTCATAGTTGTCATCTCCACGGAATCTGACAGTGATTTCTGGCATATCATTGACATCATTGTCTGCATCTGCCAAGAGCTCTTCTCTTTTGGAGTCATCGATATCATCAAATTGTCCACGTAGGTTGAAATCACGTTCATCTTCATCTTCAGGTTCATAGTCCTGA